GCTGCGCGCCTTCGCGCTGTGTTTTGATTTCTTAAATCTATTACTGTACACCAAGGGCGCGGGCTGCGGAGCCAGACTGCCTGGCTTCAGCCCGGACGACCTTCTTACAGGGCCCTTGAGTTGGGCCGATGACTTCTGTGTGCCTCGGCCACCCCATGGGAACACGGCCGTGATGATGATCAATAGGGCCCGCTTTCTTGTTCGTGGCGAACATGTGATGAGTCCACCTGGTTAACATGTTTAGAAGAGCACCGTATACATAGCACCATCTGTTATTCTTTGATCCTTTTTATAGTTTTTATCCTTCACACTTCTTCTTTGCCTCCTCTCCTCCAGTTTTGTTTATTTGGATAATGCAGAGCTGATGTTGCTGGGGAAAATTTTTTAAAAAAATATCTTTAAAATTGGCAGTGGCCAGCCATAGGTTAGCCTTTGTGGGAATACTTACAATTCTCTAAGACAAGGGCCACATGGTGTCAGATGGCTTAGCCCCTCTCACTAAAAGAGAAAGAGAGAGAGAGGGAGAGGGAGAGAGAGAGAGAGAGAGAGAGAGAGAGAGAGAGAGAGAGACCACAGCTGTACTGTCGGCCCCAACCTGGGGGCTGATCCAGTGAGTGAGGCGGCGCTGCCAGGTCAGTCTTCCCAGCTCAGCTGTATTAGTGGGTGCGCTTGTTAAGATGAATCAGGCTACACACAGGACCTGGTTTATTGGTGGTTGCGAAAGGCACAAATAGGCGGCAGTGCGTGGTAAGCACCCTGGGCACAGTGTCTAACCTGTTCCAGCTGTTTACTGATAGGAATGACTTCCTGCCCTGGACTCCTTGGCATTCTGTGGTGGGTAGTTCTCCCACAAAGGCACCGGCTGGGCTCAGTGAACAGACGGGCAATGCCAGGTGCTCAGTGAGTGCATGTTGCCTGAACAAAGGAACCACTGAGGCCCATGTTCATTTCTCTTCACTCACAGTGCTAGGGACACGGTGCTGGTGCCTGGTATGAGCGTGTGAGTGAGCTAGGCTCCAGGACTGACTGCAATCCTGGGATTAAGGCAGAATTAGGCACTGGGAGACCGCTGTCTACCCGTGGACAAAAGATCTGCCTTTGTGAAGTTTACACTCCATTCAGGAAACCAATGGCAAACAAGCAAACTATATAATAAGTAAGTTAGATAATAGTGGTAACTGCTAAAGAAGAAACAGCAGGAGAGAGCAGAGGGAATTGTGTGTAGAGTGTAACCTTAGATACGTGATCAAGGAAGATTTGGCTGAGATGAGAATGAGGTGAAGACTGCTGGCTTGAGAGGGAACCATGCGGCTATATTGGGACAGAGTGTTCCTGACAGAGTACAGGAAGTGGAAAGGAGCGGGCCTGGTATTCCAGGACCATCAAGGAGGTCAGTGTGGCTGGAGCAGAGTGAGAGGGGAGAGCAGTGGAGATGAGGTCAGAGGTTAAGAGGATGGTACCAGATTACTAGGTGTGGAACCTAGATTACTGAAAGGACTTCAGCTTTGACTTTGAATGAGATGATTCTGTTTTCCATCGGGAGCTCTCTGTGTTCCACCAGTTGCTGGTGGAAATGGGCTTCTTGTGATGTCAGGAGAAAAGGAATTTTCTGAGACTTGCACAGGACAATGGGTGGTATTTATTTGCATGGAATTAAATCCTTGAGTTTCCAAGGTCCCCTCTCCCTCCGTCCCACCATGGAAGAAGTCCAGTTGTGTCTTCAGCAGAGCGAGGATTAGAACTGTTGCCCAGAGTTTCTGTTCCATATTTGCACAGTCCAGTCTAGCATCAGGCTACCTGAGCTTGTGTTCCCAGCTATAGCCCATTCCATGTGGGGTTTCTAGGGCCACATGGCTATTGAGGGAACATGGGCAAGTGCAAGGAAACAGGAGCAAAGCCAGAGGAACAAGAGAGGGCCAAGAGAGAGCACATTTTTTTTTTTTTGTCTGAGGAGTTTAACTTCCTCAAATTCCATGTGCTTGCAGTGGCTCCACCCCTTCTAGTCAATTATCTTTGTTCCAGGCTAGACTGGCAGGCAAGTATTTTCCCTACCTCACCCCAACTTTCCTGCTTGTGTGTTCATCTTTCCTTTGTTGGACCCCTCCCCCCAGGGATCTGCAGGGCATGGAGCAGTGGTTTCCTGGGGAGTGCAAAGTTGCAGCTTCCTAGTAAAGCTGCCCTGATGGCCATGCTTATAATATCTGGCCCTTCTTTTGCTCCTTTCCTATCTACACTAATAAAAGAGAAACATGCAAATTGGTGTCACTCCACTACACCCACCAGGCAATCAGAGCGACTATGCAAATTAACCCAACAAAGATGGCCGTTAATTTGCAGCAGAGAAGCCAAGCCTCACTGCAACCACAGCGGACCAAAGGCCTGGGTCCCGGGTGCCGGAGGAAAACCGGTGCCAGCAGCCAAGGGAAAGAAGGCTTATTGCGCGAATCTTTGTGCAACGGGCTTCTAGTCAATACTAACAAGCCAATTATAACAGTAACAATACAATGTGTTTTTTCAATACCACCAAGCAATTCTCCAAATTCTCAGTGGATTCTGACTGGGTATTCTACAGTTTAACTCATTTCTGACACTGGCTACCTGGAGGTAACATCGGATCCCAGAGGTTAGGGCAGTGATGTTTCTATTTCTCTCTCCCTCTCCCTTCCTCTCTGAAATAAATAAAAATAAGAAAAGGTCAAAACTCAGAACACCAGAGCGTGGAGTAAGGAAAGATTTATTGATTGAGAAAGTGCCAACTGGGAACATGGGAGACTTAATAGTACCTCAACTCCATCTTGCTCATTGGACTGCGTTAAGGGCTTTTAAGGGGTTGGAGGAATACACATGCGGAAGTGATGGTGGGGCAAGTTTTTTGTTGAAGGGGCGTCAGCACTGGATCTTCCTGCACAATGAACCCTTCACTTCGGAAAGGGTTCTGGTGTTCAAGTTCTGGTTTGTGCCTGGCCTTTCTTTTGAGGGAGAGGTTCCTGGTGCAGCAGCTGGAGGTCAAAGTTCTCTCCTCTGCACAAGCTTTGGTTTCAGCTGGTCTCTTTTCTCTGAAAAGTAACTCAGTATCTTGTTAAACAGGATAGGACCATTTTGAGCTGGTTCTGTGATCACACTGATGCCATTTTCTTTGACTCATTCATTAATGAGTATTTATTAGGCTAGAATTTTCTAGGATTCCATGAGAAGTGTCATGTCAGTCTATTAGTAAATATTCATTGATCTGTTTTCTATAATAAACACATTAATTTTGTATCTAGTTTATTAAAAAACGATAATTATTATTTTTCCAAGACTGTATTTTATGTATAACAGCCAAGCTATTATTTAGAAATTAAATCACTGAGACTATAAATAAAAACTGTGTAGGAAGCACTTACTAAATTTGTTGTGATGTGGGTTTTAATTCTAGGCAGCAGGGTTGTCATCTATAATTAGAGACATTGGGATCTAATGGGAAACTGAAAAATGACCCTTAATGTCTCACTTGGATTCTGAATGAGCCATATCTTTCTGAATCAATCATACAATAAGTTAGGACTCAAGGGACCTTAGAGCTATAGATTTGTTCTCACTAGGTATGGAGATTAGGAACCTGTAACTCCAGGCTTATAATGTTAGATGAGTTATTTACTCTCTTTGATCCTCAGTTTCCTTATCTTCAAAACAAGAAAGTTAATATCTCTCTTAAAAGATTATTGGTAGGATAAACTGCGGGGAAAATGTGTACGTTGATGCATATATCTTAACAAAGCACATTGAACAAGTTAAGTACTCAATAAATAGGCACTAATATTATTTTAGATGCTTGAGGAGGTATCTGTAAAATTTTTGAACTTAACTTTAAAATATTGTATTGTAGCATTATAGTATTATGGCACCAGAAGGAATAACTGAAAACATTGTTTCACATTTTAAAATCATATCCTGAAAATATTTTGGGAGTTTTTTGTACTTATATTGTTTTCAAGCTTTTTTGAGATATAATTGATATATAAGATTATATATTTGTAACATTAACTACCCACATTTCATGTACCTACTGCCCACAACAGATTTTTTGCTTATAAAGAAAAGAAAGAACACACATGTTCAAGCTTAATACAAAACTGAAGTTGAGTGAGTCCTCTAGAGGCACGGCCACTTGAATCTCCTTTTCCAGATAATTTTCTTTCTCCTGATCTCATGCAAGTCCCCATGAGGCTTGCATCCAGGGGAGCAATGGACAGCCACAACTCATCCGGGCTAGTCCCCGGAACCTGTCTCCAAGGCCCTCTTTTCTCTGACTTTCTAGTGAGTTGACAGCAGCCCCACCTTGGCTCACTTTTCCCCAGAACGTTTCTAGAGCCAAAGCAGCTCCACCTAGGCGCTCTCTCCTTGCTGCTTCTATCTTAAGCCCTTCCTTGTTTCACTGTCCCCAACTTTAATAAACATACTGTCAAAAACAAAAAACAAACAAGTTGAATAGTAAAAAGGTGCTATTTGGCACTGGGGAGGCAGAGGGTTGCATTCATAGGCAGGAAGGTGAATCACAGAGCTCTGTCAAAGGTGCAGCACTTGGATAAAGAGAAGCAGGTAAAGTTGAGGTGGCTGTTTGTTAGTATACACATTGCATCAGTAGTGGTACCCCCGCCCATGTTTATTATATTGATGTAGCAGCACTCAGGGTTCAGACAGGAGGCAAAAATCTCACCAGTATTGGAACACAGAATATTTCCTTTTCTATACTAAACATTAATGAGGATTTTTAACTAGTAAAAGGAAGTAAAGGGTGGGGGCAGACTGGAGGAGGTCAAAGGAGAAAAAAGGGGGATATATGTAATGTAATACTTTCAACAATAAATAATTATTAAAAATAAATTGGGGCTGATGATAATAGAATTTACCTCATAGGTCTGGAATGAGGATTAAAGGCATG